CTCAGAGCAAAGCCTACAGCCCCCACTGCGGCTCCCTCCGTCCGCTCCCCTCTGAGTCCCTTGGAGATGGTAGAGAGCATGCGCGAGATGATTAAATTCAAAGCAGCAAAACATACGGAAATGATCCAGGGTTTCCGCGGATCATTTAAAATAATTACAATCCATTATTTTTTGGGGGATTTTTTTCATTAATTCCATCAATTTTTATGGGATTTCGGTGTAACAATCAACATGTATCGAACCGAACCGAAAACCGTGACCAGAAACCGTAATTCGAACCGAACCGTGGATTTTGTGAACCGTTCCACCCCATTACATTAAATATATATATGCATTTTTGTGAAGCAAATGTGACATTTCAACAAGGCTTTTCCACTTTATGGGAAATCAGAGGCCTTTTCATTGTTTGTTCTCAGATCTTAATCTTTTCTTTCTCCATTTCCTTTCTATTAAATTTCTGATGTGCGGTGAAAAATAATAATGCTGAAAATAATAGACTAAAAGCTCTAAGAATGACCCTGTTTGAGATTCTCACATTATACAATAACCAGAGAATTCAGTGTTTCATGTAATGACATCTAATAACTTTTATTTAAAATAGTACAGCAACAATTACTCCGACTCAAATCACATTTTATGAAGTCACATTAATACATTTTATAACTAGTTATGCTCTAATGCATGCTGACAATTCTTACTAAAGTGGTTTAATAGGAAGGAGAGTTTTCTTTTTCAATTCTGCTTTTAAATCTCATTGGCTTCTTTTTAACAGACATGTTGCTTGTAGTTTGCAGACTGTAGTGTAAAAACAGCTTTTAGTTAGTGAGATTGGTCGTTGGTTCCCACAGAGTTTCCACACCATGATTTTGTTTGTTTGTCCCAAATGGAGAAATATTTTGAAGAGACAAATTTTTCAGCCAGTTTTCTGGAAGTCAGCGCCAACAGGTGACACTTTCTAAGCGGCATAGTCCCGTTTATATGCCTTTATAACAAAGACCAAAAACCAGCTGATCATGATCAAATTAGGTTATACATCAGTATCCACAGTGTTCAGATCCTCTTTAAGTCTACATAAAAGCTCAGTCACCGTTTTTATTTTGTCGTCATTTCTTTGCCCCCTTGTTGTGAGTATTCCTGGTTCTCAGTTGGATTTTGTGGATTTATGTTTTTGGATTTTTGCCTCAAGAAGCCACTTCAGCTTCAGTGTCTGCATTTGGGTCCTGTCACACCTCCATTCCACTGAGGCAATTACTACATTGATTAATCATAAAAGAAAAAAATATTTATTTATAGATGATATAGAAGCAATTAAAGCTAAGGTTAAACTTGAGCCCAGCAAAAGCTGACAGCATCTCTTGAAGGGGACGATGGTGACTGCTTATACAAGCTTAAAATAACTCCACTTCTCTCAATCAGAACTTCCCCTTTTCAGCTAGTTTGGATGTGCCTGGAGAACCTTATCTGTCATTGTAGTCATATTTCCCTTTTCTCTCCCACTGCATGAGCAGAGGCAGCAGCTGATCACCGCTGCTTCTTTCTACAGGGTAATAGGAAGGTTTAGAGTCTTTCACGAACAAGGAGAGATCATTTATGCCTCCTTCAAAGACATACTTGGTTTTGCAGTAGGCCACCACACAAACGATGCCAACCACTAACAAGGCCACACAGATGCCTGTGATCGTCAGCACCCGCCTCTGGTAGACCAACTCTGCCTCTGTGGATGAAAGCACACGCACAAAGTTCACACACACACACACACACACACACACACGTGTTGGAGGGAACAGACAGGGCAGTCATGTCATACACCCAGAAACACACACACACACATACAGCATGAGTGCTTTTCCATTTGTGTTGCCTACAGAAGCAGTTTTCACACTATCATTCCTTACTACATCACATCCCCTGGGCTGTCTGTACAACTCCTGCGTCTTCGTTTCACATGTTCAACACCTCACTTTACCGCTGCGATAAACCGCTTCCAGAATACAGAGAATTATTTCCAACATCTCAGCTGCACAAGACTATATTAACGCTTTCTGAGAGATCTCCTAATCCTTCACAGGTGTATTGACAATGATTGTGGAGATGTAATGAAACACGTGATGGAGGAGGGGTGGGTGAGGGGGGTCTGACTTCATGCTTCTATGGATGAATTGCATATAACACAAGTTATTTATTTATTAAATAATACAAAAATAAAACACCCAAAGGTTGAAAAAAGGACAAAAAATAACGTTAACGCCACAGTAGCCAGAGTTCTGATTCGGTGTTCACACACTAAGTGTACCTGACCTCATGTAGGTGTGTTGCTCAGGATATTGGAGCAGAGTATGTTTTTGTCATCTTTACTTAAAAAGACAAGTGTTAATAATTATCTTATGGACAAATACTGGCTTATCATAGGTGAATATTATAAATCTAGTCCAATATTTTTCTGTCTGTTGTAGTATTTTGTCATGTCCTGGGATTTTTGGTAACAAAAACAACGTAGAAAGATGAAAACGGAACCTTGTGTTTTGGAGAAACAGTGCTTCTTGTTGTTAAAGTTGGCTTAGATCTTTTTAAATCGCTGTCCATTCTTTTACACAAGTTACAATGTGAAAAATCTTTTTGAGAATTACCTTGCCAGTCAAGCAGCTTACAGCGTTTGCCAATTGTTGCAGAATCTCTTCAGTGTCTCTTTGCTTTGAAAGACGTCTTCTCAGCTGCTTTATTCACAATTGCTTTTTATCTACAAATGTGACCATTTATGGGGAAATAAAAATGTCCTATGAGATTCACTGGCAGAGACCATTGCAAAGAATAATAATATTTGCTTACTTTCTCTGGTGAATTTATGTGCACATATTGTGTGCAACAAATTGCAAAGGATAGAAATGTTATGTGCCAGTTGGTTCTTTCCCTTTCTATTGCTATGGGTATATATACAAAAGCCTTCATATTCAAGGTAGTTATGTTTTAGTCTTTGATGCAGTTTCCCAATATATATATATATATATATATATATATATATATATATATATATATATATATCCCCATTACCACCTGGTTTAGATGCTTTTGTTATAATACATATATATTTTAAATGTATGTATATACTTTTTCTAGTCTTTTTTAGTAAAGCTCCAGTAGTTTAACAGTTTACGTTATTGTTTTACATACTACTAACTAATTTCAATATCTCCTGACCTATAAGATCACAAGCCATACACAAAAAGTATGTGCTGTTTTTTAATTTTTAGTTGAACAGAAGGAAGTACAATTAGATATTATATTTTATATCACAGAGTACATTGCTTAGTAATAAATGCAAAAGTATGTGAAAACTTCATTTACATTTAAATCTTATTTATTATTATGTCTGATACTTTACATCTATTTATTTTAATCAATATAGTATATTAATCACCTGGAAAACTGACTATTTCATTTGAAAAAGATTGTGTCGGTGTTGGACTTTCGTTAAAACCTGCAGGAATGGCGAGAGTGGGAAAGAGGCCCACTCTAGCTTCTTTCTCCGCCTCAAGTTTTTTTCCAAACATATGGCATTATGACCAACCGGAAGCAGTTCTGCACAAATATATCGCGATATATCTGGCAAAATAGTTTTTATAAACCTTTTCTTTTTTTTTTTTTTTATAAATCATTTTAAATGCCACAATAATCACATTTAATGAATTTTAATGCCAATTCAGGCATTTATTAAAAATAATATTTTTATGACGTTTAATGATTTTGACCAGCGGAAACCCTGTTTAAAGACAATTTCAAAAGTACTGAATAAAAACATACCAGGTGAGTCGTTTATTGTGTCAAGATCAGGGATCTCGTGGTTTGAAAAAACAACGTTGTGTTTGAAATAAATAGGTCCAGGACCTATAAAGTCAACAGGGTTGACAGAAGTTGGTAAAGACATCATTGTTGGAGTCTGCATTTAAAAAAAAAAAAATTATTTTATTTATTTATTTTCTTATTTTTTTCCTACTTGCTTTGATTCTGTTTTATTTTCATATATTTTAATCATGTAAAGCACTTTGCACTGTCTTTGTACTGAATTGTGCTATACAAATAAATTTGCCTTGCCTTGCCTTGCCTTGCCTTTAGAGGTAATTTTCAGTTCTAAAAAAAAAGAAATGCAAAGTTACGTTTTTTCATTTGGTTTGAAGCGAATTAACCAAGTGGCGCAAATTGTAAAATTGTCATATGTTGTATTCAGTTTTTTAGGCTTCAACCTTTTGGCCCTGTTTTGTCGTGGGGGGGCCGGAGCCTCAAATGACAGGGGGTTTGGAATCATAACTAACAGCTAAACACAGCAACTAAACAGCCTCCTCCCAGCTGTAGCATTCAGGGACCGTGGGAACTGGAAAGGTACTTAACCCCATCAGTATTCTATTGTATACGACTGGTTTTGAAAAATAAAAACTTCCTTCACCAACAGAAGCAGCCCACATGAATACACAGCACTGATCTCAGAAGATTAAACATGATCTTGACAGATTTACAGTTTTTTAGGTCCGAGTAGATTTCTCATTCTCCCATGCAACATAGAGTGGAAGAACCGCCAGACTGAGTAGTTGCACCTGGCTGCAGAGAGAGGTAGACCCAGCCATCCACCGCCTCTGCCCAGCACCATGCACTATATGCCAAGCATCCTGCTGTTAGCCATCGAAGCTCCAGAGCTGGGTGTGGTGCACCAACTCTTAGGCGGAGGGTATGGAGGAAGATAGCAGTAGATTGTGAAGCAGAGCGGTAAGCAAAAATCCTACATCACAGCCACATGTAAGCCCTGACTAGTTTTGGCAAAGTGTATATAAACTAAAGCTCATACTTTTCGACTCCTGTTAATTTCATGTTGTGTTCTTTGGAATTGCAGCGATGCCCTCGTTTAGCTGTATGCACCAAAGACCTGTGTTTGACTTCACTAGAATTGTGACCTTTTCCTCACTCTGCCTTGCAGGCACTCTCTACAATAGGGACAACATGTGAATTATCCAATCAGGGCATGAAATTCTCTAGACTGATGGAGCTAAATTCATAATGTAGTGCAATAGGTGATGATTAAACATTTAACTATATAAGCCTTTAGGAGATAAAAGCTTCTTGGGAGATCAAATATTTAGTTTAAACACACTTTTTAATTGATTGTCTATAATTTTGCCTTTAATTTGAACTGTATTAAAGGAATAGTACACCCAAAACATGATTAGCCTTCATTTTCTACTCACCCCCATGCTGAACAACACTCTGGAGTACTTTTTTGATATCTCAAATGCATCTGGAGATCTGGGAGGCTTCTTGCTGTCTGCTGACATTCAAATAATGGAGGTCTATGGTGACCGAGACAGAAAGGTCCATAAAAGTCCACAAAAAACGTGTCAATATTCCTCCATACTGCTCGTCCAATGTATTCCAAGTGTCCTGAGTGGGTAGCATCCAGAATTTACTCGAAACGAAGTCATTTAGAACGTTTTTAGAGCATAAACAGTAGTGTATAGGATTTCCTGAAAGCGCGCACATGCCCGCTCACGACACTACGGAAGCCGGCAGACCAAACCAGATGAAAGTGCGCATTCAGCGTCTGCTCTGCCAATAATGCAAGCGTAGAAGAAGAAATGTGCTGTTTACCTGTGCAAAGAAAGAAACTTTGCCGAGCTGAATGCGCTGGGTTGGTCTGCCGGCTTCCGTAGCGTCGTGAGCGAGCATGTGCGCGCTTTCAGGAAGTCCTATACACTACTGTTTATGCTCTAAAAACATTCTAAATGACTTCGTTTCGAGTAAATTCTGGATGCTACCCACTCAGGACACTTGGAATACATTGGACGAGCAGTATGGAGGAATATTGACACGTTTTTTGTGGACTTTTATGGACCTTTCTGTCTCGGTCACCATAGACCTCCATTATTTGAATGTCAGCAGACAGCAAGAAGCCTCCCAGATCTCCAGATGCATTTGAGATATCAAAAAAGTACTCCAGAGTGTTGTTCAGCATGGGGGTGAGTAGAAAATGAAGGCTAATCATGTTTTGGGTGTACTATTCCTTTAATGCAACCAACAAACGATCTTGTGTTTAGTTATTTAAACAGTTCTTTATTGAATTGTATGTGTTTTTGACCCTAACAATGTTATTGACTATTAGCGATTTTCATCTTTTGAGGGGAGTGGCGGCTTAGTGGTTAGGGCATAGAGCTTGGAATCCTGAGGTTCTGAGTTCAAGCCCCACTCCCACAGACTGCCACTCTGGGTACCTGAGCAAAGATTCTTAAACCCACTTTGCTCCCCAGGCACCGCAAAATGGCAGGGGATGGGCTAAATGCAGAGTGTTCATTTCGTTGCTCTGTACTTGTGACAATGTAATGACAATAAAAGCTGGAAAAAAGACAAATCTTCCTCGGCCTAAGCAGGAGTGCCAGTAAAGATAGGCAAAACCGTCCATGTCTTCAGGATCTGTTGCTCTTTGAGGAAGTGACTACTTTGTGTAAGAGCTGTGTGACACCATTAAAATTGATTCTGGTTGTTTTCAGGCCTACTCTGGCGTAACGTTCTGCGTGAGAACAGCAAGCACTACGACACAGCGATGGAGAGAGCGACAAACAAACAGAAAAGATCCTGAGGGGAAAGACTAAAGGCAAAGATCAAATTTAAAGTGATGAGGAGGAAGGAGAGGAAGAAAACAAAGGACGGAGGTAGAGGAAGGGGGCGTGTTAGGAG